GAGACAGGATTCTTCATGAATTATCCATAAGGACCAAGAGAGGAATGTCAGGTTTCAAAGGCGTTGTCATTATTTGCTGTCTACAGAAAAGCTACCATTTCTTATGACCCAACCACATCAAACCAAATAAACTTTTCCTGAACGAACCGACTCCTTTTTCAAATTCAACTCAAAAAAATTCCATCTGCTCTTAATTTTTGTCTTATGGGAATAGGAAAATGCACAACATCCTGTGTTCTCATTTTGTAAATGTCCACTTCATATGGTTCTAATTATAATCAGTATCTGATCAAGATATCTAAAATGCAAATGCCAACTTTTGGGAAACTGGCAAATAGCTGCCACACGCTGTAGTACTTTATAAAAACAAACTCTGTCGCCATTCACATAAGCAGTACAAGTTGTTAGTGATGCAAGAGAATTCAATTTTGCATCAGAATTGTGATGAAAAAAAGCAAAATTACTGTACTAGTAGTCTTTACAAAAAAAACACATTTTATATACATGATAATCTCCAAGCAGATGTTGGGGTGAAATATTGTGACATTTTCTGAAGCTTCGTCAAAATAACTTGTCACAATATTATACTAATAACACAAGATTTTTACATGAGGTGAATGGGTTGCCATATAGTAGCTTTATACATTTTCTGACATAAATTAGATCATATACAAAACACTTATTTTATACAGTGGTGTAACTTCAAAAACACATAGTTCTCACCAGGCTGTTTGAGCGTAGGGGCCCCCTACGCTGTGATTTTGACCCCCTACGCTGTGATTTAGCCCCCTACACTGTGTTTCAACCAGCGTAGAGGTGGTTTTTGGGGGCAGAAGCTTCATTAATCTTTAAAAAAAAAGGAAAATTCAACTTAAGAATGAAGCTATAACAAAGGAAAAACAAAATCTGACCCCCAATAAACAATAAATAGTGTCTTAAGTGGTTAATATGAGTTACAAAATTTTGGGGGGAGAATATCAGACCCATGTTTTGGGGATCTCGATGCGCGACTCGCGCCGCAGAAAGTTGCCCTTCTATGCCTGACCCCTACACTGTGAAAAAATCCTGGTGAGAACCCTGAAAACAGATTTTTTTCTAACTTTATTATGTTATGCAGTAGCTCTTTATGACTCTTCTTTAAAAAATATACATAAGTTCATTTCCTTTGCAAATATTGCTCATGCCTTTTTTTGAATGCATGTGCCTTAGCTTAGCATAGTGCCATAGCTTTGATCACAAAAGTTACATGGGGAAGAGTACAACTCTTAAAAACCCATCAGTGAATGTTAAGAACATTTTTTATGTGAATGAACTTTAATGGACCCAAATACATGCTAATTGCGCATAAATTTTGTGATGTAGTGACTCTAGTGCAACCAGTGTTGTGCAGTCAAATTTATTCATAAAACTTTTCAGCATTAAACATAAATTGTGCTAGAATAAAATGCCCCATCGATATTAATGTATTTGGTTTGGTTTGGTGGTTTTGGTGAAAATAAGTTGCTGTTTTGTTTGTAAAAGTTTCAAGTAAAAAAAACGCCCCCTCCCCCTAAAAACTTGGGCGAGTCCGTCGTCTGCGTGTCCTGCCGACGTGGCGACAGTCAGACCACCGAGTGGGGAGGGGGGCGGTCTAAAAAAAACTCGTCAAACTTCGACCAAAACACACCAAAACACCAGCCAAAAACGTCGCGACATCTTCCTATTGCCAAGACGCGGAAAATCTGACAGAATCTGACAGACTGTGAGTTTTAGAAATTCGTACAACAGGGTATTTTTTGGAAAAGTGCGTCGGACGACCAGCAGAAAAAATGAACTTTGCCCCCGCATAAGGCCATGCGCCACACCAGTTTGTCGATAAAGACTGCGGGGAAAAACAGCTCTACCGAGAACCCTTCAACGTCAACAATGGAAGCCTGTCCGCCCCCACACAGGTTTTCTGTCAAAATAAGTCGGTCTGATCTCTTCGAGATCAAAAGGACAATGATAAACATCCAGTTACTTGGAAGGGACTGCGGACTGAATAATTCAGCGAGGGGGCAGATCTGCATAGCGGTACTCACATTGCTTGGTTACTGCAGCCGATAAGGGTCCGTCCTGGAGATGAAGCGTGCGCTTGCTGGTCGCTTCAGTCTCGGGGTGTCTTCTCTGAAAGAAAAGATCACTTTTAGCCCTGTTAAAATCACGCAAAAGCGACGAATCGAAGCCCTTAATGAGCGACCCCTCCCTACTTACCCACAATCTATGGAAGAAGTGGATGTGAGGTCCGTGACGGATCACGCCCACTCTTCATACTACTCCGCCACTGCAACGTCATCACCCCACTCTGTGCAATCTTGTCTGCCATTGGCCGGAATGAAGCAATTAACGATGGACAGTCCAATGAGACGACGTGAAACAAATAAGTGCTCGAGTGCTATCGCCGAATAGCTCCGGATGTAGAAAAAGTAGTGCCAATCAAAACTCCGTGTACATTGTGAGCCATATAATTTTATCAGCGTATAATTAATGACACCTGTCAATCACTCATCAACGTACGAAATTTTATCAAATAAGCTGGGATCGAACAGAAATGTACGCATATTATTGGTTGGCGGAATGATCACATCAGCGACGGTACCTGTGCGCTGGTCGACTTCCGGAGACGCTTCCGGGGGTAAAGGTCACCAGGTAAGACACGTGAGACTCATGCAAACTTCGACGGCGAACAACGTATCACATCTCTCCTTTTAATACATAACAGCTTTGTTACGCTACAGATGAAAAGTTCAATTTGAAAAAAAAAAGTTACGGAAAATGGTCTGTATTTGATATCGTTGTTTTGTTGATAACGACTTATTCAACACAGTAACGTTAACGTTTACTGAAATCAATGTAAAGTTCATTGCAAGTTCCTATCGTAATTCAAAGGCTAATTGCAGAAAGGCACACAGTACAATGATGAAAAAAGAACTAAAACGTTTTAATGCATTTATTTTGAAGCCCTACAAACTTCATAAACGATTATAAAAGATCGTAAACGTTTGTTTATGTTAATTCCGCTCCACTCAATGTTAAGACTAACTATACTCAGACAAGTAAAAGATATCAAATTTCTAAATTCACGTTTTATTTATGGTTTCAAGACATGCTTTTTTTGCGAAATGTCAGTTGGGGATAAAACGGACCAAGCGCCAAGGTATTATATACATGTACATAAACATAATAACATGTACACTACAGTCAACATTGGCCTTTCTTGCAATTGGCATATGTATCAAGTTGATAACAGTATCTTTTGTTCTTATTATTGAATGGTAGTATATCTACAATGAGCAGATTATTATCTTGACAGTATACGTAATTATGACGTGATGTTTCTTGCACATCCACACATTGTACCACTTCGGCTATGCAAATTGACAATAGCATGTTACTTTTTTTCTTCATTGAAGCTGAAGACTAGCTAGAGTCCAAAAAATTGCATATATTTAAACTAAAATGTTTCGTGTCGTCAGGGCGTCGAAGAAAGCTTTTTTTCTTTGCACGGCTTTACAATATCGTTACATCAAATGATATACGTAGCGGATTTTGCACATGTTATTCTTATTGTAACAAGTAAGTTGCTCACGAGGCACTTTACAAAGCATTGAACAAGCAAAAGGAACTTCTTGAAATTCATTTCTTATAATCATATACATACTAGAGGTCGGAGATCTCATGTCTTCGTCAGAGGTACATCGTTCTAGAGAAATTAACATGCGTATTCTTCACTCTTTTTAATAATCAATTTGGTCTAAAGAACAAAAGAATCTCTGTACTATTTTTATGGTACAGAACACCCTGAAACGGTTTGCCGCAGATTATACAGATGCGTCGTCACCCATGTTAGCCCCCCCCCCCCCTACGTTATTTGAGTTTGGACTGTTACTGGAAAAAAAACGTTCAAGAAATTCTTACTGTGTTGAAAGTGTCACGACAGCGCCGCAAAATATAATAAGAGAAGATGTTATAAAGTAAAGAATCAGAACAGGGTGACTACTGCTGTTTTGTTAATTTGTCTTTATGACAAATAGAAGACTTGTTTCTTGTGTTCTTTGTGTCCTAACATTTGTGCTTCTACAGTTAGTATATTCCAAATCTAGGCATCTCGTTTTTCGGCCCTTCGTGTTTTATTGCGCGCTTGCCTTAAATTTAAGGTAATTAGATTTAAGGTCTCCAGTGGACGTCATCCATAGCAATTACTTGGTGTGGCCGTAGAAAATAACCTGACATATGTCCAACCTATCCTCCCCCTGCTGAAGTTATAGTACAATGCCTCAATGTAACGTCATTTGATCCCATCCCATTATTAGGGTTCCCCGGCTATATCCATCTGTCGGCTGTCTCCAAGCAGATGTAGGTGGGGGATTTCTAAACGCAAAAGGTCCTATTACGGGGACATAACGACCTCCACGACTCTCATCTTTGAACTCAATCTTGGAGACCACGACAGTAACATGCCTATTAAATTTCATTAACTTCCATCCACACATACAAAAGTTATCCTGCTCACAAGAAAAATTAACAAAATGCCCCCTGTAGTCACAACGAAACCCCCCACGAAGCTCAGTAACGAACTTAACCTTGGTCCCGACAATAGTAAGCACCACACCAAGAATTATAATTAACATTTTACAAATACTTGAGTTATCTTGCTAACAAGCCACAAACACAAAAGGTGCACTAACGTGACGCACGGACCCCCCACGAAGCCGAAACTTGTACTTGACTTTGGCCTCAACAGCGGTAATCTGCCTGCCAAAAATCATGGACGTCGAATAATGCCTTCCAGAGTTATATCGCAAAATCCGCAGTTCCCCACACTTCGGCGAGACAATTTCATAGTCCTTCTGACGAAGACAACTTGTACTTTTATCACTGTGTGTCCATTACGTCGTCCATGCACTTTTACTATATTTACTCGATTATGAAATGTAATATCTTTTTAACTGATGATATGTTGCTAATTAACAGTACTGAGTTTTTATAATCGGCAAAATTGTACAATCAACGCAATTCAGTCTAATTCTAAGGACTACCAAGTTGATGAATAAAGTTTGAATTTGAATTAAGCTGGAAGAGGTATTGTTGACTTCTGCAGGCTACAATTCGTCGTTCCTCTTCCCCCTCTTGCTCTTCCTCGGTTTCCCCCTGGGTCGGGGGGTGTTGGTCCTCCGGGGGGCCGGGGTAGGGGGAGGAGGCGGGGGTCTCTTCTTTTTCTTCTGGTCCTTCAGGTGCCTGACCTTTGGCCTCTTGGCCTGATTGGTCAGGTTAACCTTGCTGACGTACCGCACCTTGTCGCTAGATGTCGGCACCACCGACTGGGCGCAGCGGAAACCCACGTGGTCGCAGCCGATGTCAGATGCTTGTCCTTTCCTTGGGAAGTCAAAAAAATCAATCCAGTTTTCAAACAGAATGTTAAATCAAAGATGCGTCTCTTAAAGAGCATTTGACGTCTGAAGTACACAAGATATTGCAATTAGAAACTGTAAGAAAAATTTGACCATCTCTTCAACTTATTCTGTCGATCTAATCCTAAATTTGAGTGAATTGACGCATGATGCATTTTCGAGTAGCTAGTATACTAGTAGTGCCATGTGGCCCAAGTTCGCTATGTCTTGCCTTTTTTTTACCAATTAAGCACACCGGGTCACCCCTGCTTTTTCTATGTGTGTTGGGTTCTTCACGTCTCTACTTGCTAGAAAATAAGTTCCCAATACGTCAAAAATTACGTCAAATACGTCAATAAAGAAAGAAAGAAAGAAAAACTAAAAGATTCTCTATAAAATGTACCTGGTAGTGACCTGGACCCTGTAGTTGAATGAGCCGTCCTTAGAGTCGAGCCATGACCCTCCCCTCACCACGTACTCCTTCGCATCCGCATCCTCTTTGCGCATGCCCGGTGGGACGTATTGTGAGCTGGTCCATTCCCACACGTTCCCCACTACGTCATACATACCTGCGGTTCAATGAGAAAAATCATCTTCAACTTTGACGGCAAAATAAAAGACGGATTGAGATATCAATATACAAAGTTGGGGGAATATTTGATAAATCGGCTTAACTTTATATATTTGGGTCTTCTGGAAAATAGACAATGGTAGACAATTTCAACTTTGCAGAACTATTGTTAGCTCTATTCGCTGTGTGCGTGTGTGCGTGTGTGTGCGTGCGTGTGCGTGCATGTGCGTGCGCGTGTGTGCGCGCGTGTGCGTGACGCCTTTGCTTGTCTGTGTCTGCGGATGTGTCTGTGTTTTATATTCTTCTCTCTATTTTTACTAAAAAGGCTATACCAAGCTACTGTACACACACACATTCTACTGTGAAGTAGGTCTGAATATCGAGACTACCGAGATAAATGTAACATGACGTCACGCCCCACCGTAATCATTCTGCTCTGGGAACGACAGAACGGATGACGTCGAGAAATGCCCATCTTCAAGAGTGTTGTTATCTGGGAACGAGCCCTGCATATAAAAGAAAAGACAGTTTTTTTAAATATATTCCAACATGTAGTCACAAGACGTGGTGACGGCACACTCAAGTTGTTTCAACTTATATTAATGCCGCCAACAACACAGGGGACAATACAATGCTCATTTTTACCTGAGCGAAGCGAGGAAAGTCGTGTAAAGTGCCTTTCCCAAGGGCACAAGATCGGTGGCATGTCAGGACTCGAACCCGAAACCTCTTGGTTCCGAGTTGAGCGCTACGCCAAAAGACCCGAAAAGACAGTTTGAAGCTGCTTTGAATTTATTTGACAGCACACGAACATCTACAACAGTGTAAGAGGTTTGACACCTAGCGGTCATAAGTAGTACTGCATGTGCAGTTAAAATTATCATAATTTATGTATTTTTTATACATTGGCTAAAAAAGACAAAACTATGACAATTGCGACGCCAAAATGATAGCGAATCATCATTTATTTTACGTATTAAATGATACAAAGTAATACAATCAGTATTGGTGATATCCGTTTCTTTGTCATGTCGCTTATTTTTTCTTACTACCAGAAATACAAGTGGAGATTACACGTATACAGGACACCAGGAGGGCGTTGTACAATTGTCGCCTTGGTGTTTTTTTTAACGCCATTACTTGTTTATTAATTTTTGTCCTCCCGAGAGCCGCATGCTCGCAGGGAGAATGTAAATATAAAAGAAGCGTCTTTCACTGCAAGAGCTACTAGTATTATTGTCCACAGTTTTACTGGCTAGTATCACAGTGTATTATGGTGGTATGCTAGCTATAGAAACTGTGTCTCGATTATCAAGGGTTGCAATGATATACGGTAATAAAATGAATGTTCATCTATCTTATATCCCCGTACTTTGATGACTATAATAATAGTTTCCCAAATATTTGAAATATCAACAAAGAATTGCTTCAAAGTACAGCGCCATGTTTATGATTATCATAATTTATGCATTGTCCAAAAACGGTCAATCAACGCCATTTTAATGAAAGATGAATTGATATATGCACTAGAAACTTGAAGTGAATATGAAAAATATGCAATTGCAGTCTTCAAATGCTTAGAAACCGTAAAATTTCTGCATGAAAGATACGTTTTCTTGCTGTAAGAACCAGAAAATGAGATCAGCACATTGTGAGTATGTAAAATCCAAACGCCAACAGAAAGTTGCTACGTATTCTTAACATCATTAACCTATAGTTTATATATAGTGATAATTTTTGTCACCCCTCGAGCCGCTTGCTTAGGGGGTTCTAGAAATGAAGAAAGATTAGTTACTACTAGTCAGAAATGAGTTTTCAAAATAGATGTATTATAAAACGTTTTACTTGTCCCGTGATTATCATAATTTATGCATTTTCGAAAAATGGATGTTCAACGACATGGAATTGAAAGATGAATTTATACATACACTTGTAAGTTGACATGAATATGAAAAGTATGCACCTGTAGTCTTCAAAAGGGAGAAACCTTTTGAAAATTTTGTATGAAAGACCGCCTTTGAAAAAAAAATGCCATGAAATCAGATCAGCACCGTGTGGATATATTTTTTCTCTCTAAAACGTAACTTACAGTGTATTGACTCATTACAGTGTAATAGAGTGTATTTACAAATTTTTGTCCTCCCTTGAGCCGCTTGCTCGGGGAGTTTCTAGAAACAAAGAAGTAATAGTACACGAGTATCTGACCTTCAGTGGCGCTAACTACCCTGGACGGCTGGATCGTGTTTCGCGGGTATATGTGCTTGGCGGGCCGATAAGAAATCAGCCGCGACCCTCTGTACCGCGGACCAGATCCGATCCTGAAGACCAGGCATACCTTGGGGCAGGGCGGAGCCTGGTAACTAACCTTTCGTGACAATGCGCCATATTGCTCATCATCATAATTTTTGCGGTTTGCGAAAAACGCTTATCTTTATTTCAGGGAGTACTAATTTACGTATACTTTTCAGTCAGTGTTGCGATGATTAACATAATTTGTACGTTTTCCTAATAAATGTTTCAAAATGTTTTAGTTCATTTTCTATACAAATAATATTATACTGAACGCCCACAAAAACAAATAGTTCATTCATAGCAAGTTTCTCAGCTCCAACAAGGTTTGAGTTGCAGTACCTTAAAATTTAGATTACTTACCTACCAAATATCAGGAATTTTTTGATACCCCTTTCAAGGGGTAGATAAGAAACAAAAGAAATGTCTTGTATATATCCAACATATATACTCATAAATCATAATATATGTATATTGTAATCATTTGCACTCACTTCTTGCATTCTTAGAGCATAAAGCGACGGTAGCCATGTTGCTCATTATCATAATTTATTCAATTTGCAAAAAACACTTAATTTTCATGAAAAAAAGAGACATTGTTACTTTATTTCAGTGGACGAGTTTATGTTCAATGCAAGGTTATTTACATTTTTTAAATAATGTATAAAAATGGTTTAGTTCCTTATTTTGAACAATCTATTCTACTGTGTGCCCACAAAAAGTAAGTTGCTCATTTCTCATTGGTCGATCCTCAGTTGCAAAGTCAAAGTTGCAGTACCTTTAAATTTTAGATTACCTACATACCAAATATCAAAAATTTTTGAATACCCCTTCCTCGGAAGGGGTAGATGATAAATAAAGGAAAGGTCTAGTATCACATAACACTAGGAAATCCAATACATGTACATGGCTTTGTATACATGTATGCCTTTCCAGTGGTATGGTTTTTATGTTTAATACTCCGCGCAAGAGAGCAGGAAAGGCTCACTACAAATTGCAATTTAATGTCACAAAAACACTGAGCCTAGTATATCGTCTTCCACTACAAACTATCGTCGAATTGTTTAGCAACTACAGCCCCATACTGCTCATTATCATAATTTATGTAATAACGAAGAAAGTTCCAGTTTACTTTTAGGGAAATGCTAAATATGCACAGTTGTTTACTACTTAGTACCAACATTACACTAACATATTTTGGCATTACCAAAATGGACGATATAGCGATTGAGAATCTTTATTTTGTGGTTTTTCTATAACACAAACCACAGTTCTCATTTTTCAATATGTAGTATAGATTTTTATTGTGCCGACTGTTAACTTACCTCAAAACCAATTTTTTAGGCAATTTTTGAAGTCCCTTAAACTTCCGGGGTAATTGGAGTTGGGGACAAAATATGTAAACAAGACAATGTTCCACAAGGCAGGACTATATACATGTACAACGTATTTAAGTAGAATCATTCGCGCGAGCCGCTGCTACAGCCTTTACGGAACTAAACCATTGTCTCTAACTACAGCGCCATATTGCTCATTATCATAATTTATGTCATATCACAATAAACCCCAGTTTTCTGTGGCGTAAATACGAAATATGGACAGTTGTTACACATATAGGACTAAAATTTCACAAGAAAGATCCTATGATTACTTCAAATGGAATAGAGTTTGAAAAAAGACATGTATTTGTCGCATTTAATGACATGAAACCACAATAACCTTTGTGTAATTTTCCTTTATAGACTTTCATCGAGCTAGACGTTACTCACTCTACCTTATGCCTAATTTCAGGCAATTTTTGGATGTCCCCTAGACATTCGTCACTCCGTCAATTTTTAGGAGTTGGGGACATAAAAAGACAAATAAGACAGTTGCACGACAATTTCTTCTTCGTTCGACAACTTTGTTTTCTAACACGTTTGCCGAGGGTTATACGGTATGAATGGTAACGACGCGAGTTTTCTGTCACAGCTGGGGCTAGGGACTGTCAGAATAGCCACTACCAGATTACCGATGTACAAAACAGTCTATTGAGCGGCAAGCTAGTATAGTATTAGCGGAATATTTGGCCAGTTTCTATCATTTCCAGTAGCCTTTGGAACCTGGTAGAGGCTACTCACGGACGCCCTGTCGACAGAAAACGATCGCCCAGTCCAACGTCTGCTTGGGTACTAACTAAACCGTACCTAGCCTAGTTACCAAACCTATTACTAGCTCCCGAGTCCTACATCCTCTCCGCAAATAGAGAAATGCGAAGAGGATGTAGCCTCTACCAGGCTTCGGGAGGTGGCTGGAAAGAGTAGAAATCGCCCAAATACAGAGAGATATCATGCCAAGGAAGTTGGTCTGCTGGAGAGAACAGTTTGCCTCTCCGGCAGACCAATTCCCCTGGCATGCTATGTCTACAGCTGCTCTGTATGTATTTGGTAGCCTGGATGCTAGACCCAAAGCACACTGAGATATTTTGTGTCCAGTGTGCTTTGGGTCTGGCATCCAGGCTATGTATTTGGCCGATTTGTGCTCTTCCAGCCGCCTCCCGAAGCCTGGTAGCCTGGTAGAGGCTAGAAAGGAGACAGGACTAGTCTCGGGAGTTATAATAGTAATCATGAAGGCCAAACCGTACCTGCCAGATGTTCTACCCTTTGTTAAGAAAAGACTCAGTAGAAATTGGCAAAATACTAGTACACATGTAGCTAGAGAGATAACATGCCTTCTGGGTGCACCGGGTGCGGCAAAATGTACTCTCTGGCGGACCAACTTACTCACATGTTATCTCTCTGTTTGGCCAATTTCTACTCTTTCCAGCCGCCTCCCGGAGCCTGTTAAACCGTACCTGCCAGATGTTCAGCCTTTGCGGTGAGTAGCGGCCTCCCCAGGGCAGTTTCCTCCCGTCCAGCCCTCCCTTCGCGGCCACCTCCCACTCCTCCTCGGTGGGGAGGCGCTTGCCCGCCCAGTAGCAGTACGCCGCCGCATCGGTCCACCGCACGTGCACGACAGGGTGTTGTAACTTGTCCAGGATATTTGATCTTGGTCCTGCCGGCTGAAGATTTAAAAGTCAAACTTAAATTGTTTGTTTGCTTGTTTGTTTTTATTTATTTAACCAGGGGGATACATATCGCCCGTAGGGCGCTTTTTAATGAGCCCTGGGCCTGGGGAAGACCCCAAACAAAAACATCAAACTCAAACTAATACAAATAACAACAAAAGTAACTTATAAAGTTACAAAAGTTACTAAATAATACAAAAGCAAGGTAACTTAAGTAGCATACATTGCGCATGAAATCATAATACCAAAATAAGTGAAACAAAAGTGAAGCCTGACCATCATATAACATAGAACCAAGGTAGGACAAAAAAGAAATCAAGATTAAAATCAGGCTTGGAATTTGCATATCAATGATTGCCCAGTACATAAAGTTGTTTGAAGGCTGCTAGGGTCCTGGCTGCTTTTAGGTGATGTGGTAGTGTGTTCCACAATACCGCCCCAGACGAAGAAAAGGCACGTTTTCTGTATTCTAGCTTAGTCATTGGCAACTGAAGACCTCCTTGCGCCCTGAGGCGAGTGTTGTGAGTATGCACGTGTGATAATTGTGTGAACATTGCACAACAATTGTAACAGGTACAATGTATGGCAAGCTCTTCAGAGTTACTACATATCTAGCTTTCTACTCTAACGTCTACTTTAATGGTTAAAAGCTCTATGTATCGAAACTAGCACTAGACTATTTTATAAAGGTGATATAATATACATGTACATGGAACATGGCTTACATGATAATGCGGAGGAGTTCTACATAACTACTGACTGGACAATATACTAACACTTTTCACTCTCAAAAGCTGCCTGGACATTTCGATCTTTTTTTTTACCTTTCCTCCGAGTTTTGTCTTAGTTCAGACATCATAATCAACTTCTTATTTGCGAAAGAAAACATGCATGCAACTTTGAAAGAGATGGTCCACAATGCTTTTCTATCTTCCACGGAAGGACATTTTTTTTACTAAAAAAATTCCGAAGCCTTACCTGACTCCACATGGCATAACGTATGGGTAACATCCACGGGGCGAGCTGCAATGTCACCAAAATATAGAATAACACGAATTTCAGTGGTTTGGTAGTTGTTTTTGTTTGGCATTTTCTTTGTACACCTTGCAAATGCTGTAAAAGATCACCAAAGTCGTACTAGAATATACGTCACCCGTATATATGCTATTACTCCTACAAAACGATGTCAGCACTGCTTCTTGATATGGAAGGTACTATCCTGACTTACAAGTTCATTTCGTTTATTTCGATACCCTTTAGTCTAAGACGACTAGTCTTCCAGGGTTCAAAACATATAAACATATGAACATGCTGACAACAAAATTAAAGAGAATGAACATACATAATCATCACAAATTATATACAGGTTAAACAAAAACGATCATGACTTGATATACACAACTTAGCTCATGTACAACTGGTGGATGGCCTTTTTGAATTGACGCAGACTGGTCAGTGTTTTGATACTGGGAGGCAGGGTGTTCCATAGATTAATGGTGCGGTAGAGAAATGTTCGCTTTTTGCTGTTTGTTTTTGGTTTGGGTAGTTTGAAAGTGCAAGAATTGGCAAATCTTACTTGTGGGTAGAATGGACGGGAACAATGGAACTGTAGATGTTTTGGGGTTCATGACTGTTAAGAATTCTAAAAAACATATTTAAAGTACTGGTAGCAAACTTCATGTTTGCTAATCATTTGCCACAGGAAAATTATAAGTCATCTGCGTGCCGCACCTTTTTATTACCTACACAGGTCGGTTTTACTTCCGTTGTACTAATCAAAACGAGAAGAAGTGTATTTCTCACCTGTGTAACGTTTTCTACCGTAAAATTCTGCTTCACCTCTTCAGACACAAGATCATGAAACACGTAACTCCACCCGATCTTTTCTGAGTCCGTCTTGAAGCGTTTTCCTTTCGACCTGATGAATTTTCTGCGAGTCAAAGAGCAACAAGAAACTGAGCAATGTGGCCCCCAAAATCATATCAATAAAGTCCTAGATTGTCCTTACTTCTTTCCAAGGTAATATGCCCAAAATAAAATTAAAGAAGGAAATCACAAAAATAGAATCGTGTTAGAATTACTCCTCCTTTGACACCTCTTCAAATCATCGAGCCTTTTAGTAAAAGTTTTATATGTCTTGGTAACAGATATTTTCACTTCTTTCCGGCTCTTTATATATATAAAACAGACCTCTGACCTACAGTGATTTTTTTTTTTACCTCTGAACGGTTATTCTGGACACGATTATGGATCACGATTAAGATTTTGACATTTTGGTTTGTATATTTCTGTTCAGCCGTTTATGTATGTTGTATCGTTTGTTAACTTTTCAGTCATACTGATTTTCAGTTATACTGATCTCTGTTAACTTTTCTCAGTTATGTTACTTGACTGTATAATTTACTTTTATACAAATTGCTTTATGTTGTGTTTATGTTATGTTATATTGTTTATGTGTCCCTGCTGGGCCCTTTTGGAAATCAACAATTTTACTGTTGTAAAGGCTACTCAGGTGTTTATAAGATGAAATAAATAAATATATAATTATATATACTCTCTGCAATTTGAACTCATGGTGATTCAATGCTGGGTTCATCTAACAGTAATGTTCAAGCAAACGGTAACCTTTATTCAAAGGAAAATTCAAACGCTGACTGCTGTCAGTTATAAGTCTATGAAAACACTAGTTTGTATAGAAACATTTAAAAGGAAAATTCAAACGCTGACTGCTGTCAGTTATAAGTCTATGAAAACACTAGTTATATAGAAACATTTTAAAGAAAAATTCAAACGCTAAATTACTGTCAGTTATAAGTCTATGAAAACATTCGTTTGTGTAGAAACATATTTATTCAAAGGCAAATTCAAACGCAAAATTACTGTCAGTTATAAGTCTATAAAACACTAGTTTGTGTAGATTTGAACCGTTAAGTGTTCCCATTGTCCCGCTTAATAAGATTATCATTTGTTTATCGAGTGCCTCTCGAAATAACGACGTTCCTTAATACATCCGGTTTAACGAGACGACCAATCAAATGTGTCACAGATGCTGCGGGTAATTAGAAATTTTCTGCACACTTAGGTCCAGCGCTTTGGGGATATTATATCGATTGCTGCTCAATGATGGGCTTATCATCTCATTATGCCTGAAGTGAAGCTCGTTAACGTTGTAAAGTACATGTACAGCAATTCTACAGTTTAAAAAGTCAAACATAGTTACTGCATCAGCGAACACCAGTACACAGAGATTAGTTTAGTGGCTTAAGGTAGTAAAGGTGGTTAGAACCATCTACTAGATACGAGCATGTGCCCGATTTATTTAGTTAAGTTAGTTTGTGACGGGGTAGGTCTAAACTGACTTTCAAATACACAGTACAAGTCAACAATAGGCCCGCACAAGACTATGTACAGACAGGTCTACATTGAAACTAAATATACTCAGCACTTTACTCATCGTAAACTTGACAATCGACACTACACCATTCGCAGACACGATTTGTTAAGATACAGGTTCTACACTGAGTCCGCACTCAAGCTTAGACACTACACCACTCACATCACAAAAACCGTTCGTGACGGGATACAACTACACAGAGTCTAAATCTACACTACACTATTCACAGAAACTGTTGGTTGGTGACGGAATACGGGTCTACACTAGGTCTACACCCCAGTGCTTTTAAACTACACTACACTACACTTCACTACTCACAGAAAAGGTTCGTTGGTGACGGGATACAGGTCTACACTGGGTCTACACCGAGTCTAAATCGATATACGTATATACACTACACTACTCAAAGAAACCGTTCGTTGGTTACGGGATACAGGTCTACACTGGAGTCTACACTACTCACAGAAACTGTTGGTTGGTTACGGGATACAGGTCTACACTGGAGTCTACACTACTCACAGAAACTGTTGGTTGGTGACGGGATACAGGTCTACCCGGAAAGCCTTCAGATGAGTCTTCCGGCGAGGTCTCTCCGTGTCGGGCGCCTTCTCGTCATCCGTGCCCACCCAGTACTTCCCGTCTTTTATTTCAACCATCTGGTCAAACCTGGTCACGTTTGAACCTGTGGAATCAATTAAAAATATTAACACCTATGTAAATAGAGATGTTAATACTATTGCTTGCACCGTATGTGCACATTAAGCCAAGCTGATGTTTTGAAATAGTGCACGTTTTATGATTTGTTGGACTTTCTTTGACCTAAATTGTATGAAATTTATGCAGTAAAAAATATATGAAATATAATGAAATACCTTTATTGTACATTCATGCCACGACGGACTAGGTACAGGTCAAGATATAACAGACACATAACAAACGTATATAGAAAAGTGGAGACAAAAGATACACTAGCTACTTGACTTAGTCATACATACATAAGGAACATATAAGAGTACTATACTAGGCTAATACAAAGTGTTCTACTATTGCAAAATAACGCGTGTACCTCTAGTGCTGACTTGTCCAACAATAAAAACGAAATTTATGAACCAGTACAGAATTACAGTAACGCAGGCGGGTAGACATGCTCCAGTTTACAGGATTAGCGAAAGGATATTTTACGGCAACTCACCTTCAGTAACGTTCACGACTTTGACAAAGCCAGGAGGGGGTTTCTTCTTCTGCTGTCCCATCGCACCGCACAGAAAAATAACTACAAAACACAAGAAAATGTTTAAAGAAGGCATCCTATCTCTACCCTCCATGGCCTACTTGTCACAGAATTATTTTCTGGTGTTCAGGCATACTGGCTTATATATTTACCATTGACACGTCATTGTGATCTTTGGAACAGCTGGGACCAAGGGGAAGGGGGCACGTGTTTGAATCCTGGAAATCCATTGCTAGTCATGCGCCCCTTTGCCCATAGCAATGAATACAGGACTGTTTATTTATTGATTTGAATATTCTATACTCCTCATGCCTTTCCTAATTCTATGTGAAATAAAAACTACAATACTCTTTCAAATTTATTTTGCATTAAATGTACATAAATCTACAATACAGTGTGTAGCTCAGGATGTATTCGGCATTTAAAAACTTTTATTCAATTCCAGCCAGGAATCCCCAAATACCCTTGCACTTACCCTTAACTTCATTACAACTACAAATACAGGAGGAAAGACCTTTGCACTCAAAGCCCATTTTGACACTATTCTAGGACAATGTGGCCACTCTTGTACTAGAATAGAAGCAAACTTTACACGAAAAACATTTGCAAAGCAAATGCATAATGTTTACCTTCGGACATGGTCTACTCAAACACATTCACATACATGTATACTAGTGTATGGTGACAGGAGCAGAGCAGACCATGAAATTGCAACATAATGTAACCCAACACCAGTCACCATGGTGACAGACGTCAACAAATCATGTCATTGGTCAGGTCATAGATCACTGTTTGGAGAAGAAGAAGAAGAAACAGAGAAAAAACAATATGTAAACATAATAAAGGCTTAGTAAGAACGAACGACTTTTGTAGCCACTCCTATGAAAAGAACATGGTACAATAACAATTTGATGCTGCTAAAGTATGAAGGCAACATTAAGGAAACTTTCACCAAAACAACTAGGTAATAAACTGACACAGGAATATGAGGAAAGCTCTGTAAAGTAACAACCTTACCTACATGTACATGGTACACATGGCGAGAGGTTGTTCCACTCAGGGATGGTTCTGGTAGTACTGGTACTCTCCAAGCAGAGGTTCGGGGTTTGGGGTTATTTTTGACGTATTTTTAGACTTTTTTATCGGGGTTTCTTTCTGCACTGGAATTTTTCTTGGGTTGGGTGAAAGAAAAATTCCAGTGCAAAAAAGAAACCCCGATAAAGAAAGTCTAAAATGAGGACATAATTAATGAGGACATGTTGAAATGTATGACAAGGCAAGCCCATATTTCATGGAGGTATGAGATCTCGGAACTCTTGTTTTTAGCGTGTTTTAGGCTTTTTTATCGGGGTTTCCCTTTTGCATGAAATTTTTTTCCCACCAACAAAAAATTCAGTGCAAAAGAGAAACCCCCAATAAAAAAGCCTAAAAACACGCTAAAAATTACCCCAAACCAAAACCTCTGCTTGGAGAGTACGCTGAGAGAACATTTCGCAGCACCCAAATGTTCAATGTCCCATCTCAATGGACAAACTCCCTTGGCAGGCTTATCTCTCTATTTAATTTGGCCGACTTCTACTCTTTTCAGCCGCCTCCCTAAGCCTGGTAGAGGCTAGTGGTTGGCACGAGTACGAGTAGACGCTGGGGTTAGACGAGCCAGTGGGTGGAGTGCGTGGCTACAAGTCCGCCTGCAAGTCCGCCTTCCATGTTGAAAAAAGCTGCCGAGAACGGCAGAAAAAGAATTAAACTTGCAAGCCTGATAAACATATGGATGCTCAGCACAGGTGAAATACAGGTAAAATATACTTCCCCGCGATTGGTCAATCGATGAAAATCCTGGCGTGCTAATGCTATTGGTCAGAAAAAATGCACATTTTGACGATTATTGGCCACCTGTGCTCTTCATACGACGAATAGCGCACGTCATATGATAGCGATTGATAACGATACTGCAGCTAATTGGGCGAGGCAAAATTGTAAGATCGTCAAGCAGTTGCAAGATCTTTTATTTCTTTTTGTAGTCTACTTTCAACTTGCTAGTCCTAACGTATCATGTTATCATGATCAGAGAAAATCATTGCTGGTT